TGAACACCTGAACCAAATATTACATTATATGTTTACAAACTGAAATTTAAATAAAAACTTTAAAAAATAAAAATAATAAAACACCAGTATCTAGTGAGGAAAAAAGAGAGAAAAACATTGCATCCTGTTTCTTAAACCGAGTGGCTGGTCCTTTGGAGGTCATTGTTTGATATATCTTTACTTTACATAAATTGTCCTTAGGATTTTATATCTATTCAATATTGACTAAAATGAATTTAAAAGGCAGAATTAAATGGGAACACTGGATGAGCCAGACTGTATAAAAGGTGTTTCTGTATTTTTAAAAAAGAGAGAGAATTTGGCAGACAGTCAGTTGGCATCAGCAGGATCCCACCAGGAATATCAGAAGTATTCTGATGGAAGAAGCACCAAGCATGGTGCTGGAAAATCTAGAAGCAATCAGACAGAGAGCTCCTGGGAGTTTTCTGGTAGAGAACAGGGCAGCACATCCGGGTTTTAGTCCTACTCAGATCCAAGAAATAAGATGAGGTCATAGTCCCTAGAATTGGAATCTCAGTAGCAAGATGGCAGAACCTCAGCAGTGAGGCAGAGCCTATGCTGAAAGTAAACCACAAGGCATAGCCTCATCAAATTGAGAACTCAACCCACAGTCCTCTCAGAGCTGAACTGGAGTTTTAAAAATCCCTTGTGTGGGGTGAACCTATAGTGGAAATGTTGGGGAAGAGTTGAGGACAGTATCAAGAGTATAGGGCTATGAGGCTGTGGGGACAGACAATGACTATGACAAGTCCTAGAATACAAGGGGGAAAAGAATATGGCCGATAGGGGATCTGTTGGTTTTTTCCTGCCCTTCTGGTACTAGTTTCCTGTTTTCTTTGGAGATCCCTCCCATGTCCCATGAATAAAGTCGTAGCAGTATGTCCCTCAAAGAACCTTGCCTGCCCTAGGTCCAGCTAGGCAAGCTGTCCTCTCAATGTCTTTCTCTCTCAGCATTTAAATCTCAAAGGAAAGACAGAAGGGATGACAAATAATTGATACTGTTTCAATCCTGAGTCTGAACTTAAGTGGACACCCAGATCATCATCAGTGTTCTGATGCCAGTCCTTACTGAGATCTCGGTCTTAAGCATTTCCTGGATTTTGGAAATATCCATATCCCTTTAGTGAATTGCTTCTCATTGATACTAGCTAAGGTCATTTCTGTTGCCTGCAACTGAAGTAGCATGATTCAGCATTGAAGATGACAGCAAGATTCCCGTTCTTTTCTAAATCATCTTTCCCAAAGGTAGAGTCTGGATCAATGTCCCTGCAGTTTAAAGAATTCCCCCAAAGCCACCCTCTATCTGTAGACTGGTATTTCTCTAGGAGCCTAGCAAGGCTGACAGATTCCTCCATCCCCCTCCTACCTCCCTACTTTCTGACAGCTAAAGAATACATTCTCCTAAGTCCAAAAATGCCTAGGGCTTGACCTAGTTCTCTATGGTCTCTTTAAAATTTAACACATTTCTAAGTTCATAGTATTATTTTCTCATGCTCAAAGCTTGAAAGGAATGCCAGAACTAAAATAAATGCATTATCTTACAATACATTTTTTTTTTTAGTACGGAAATAGAGTGAAAATTATTGTGAACAGGTGACTATTTTTACTTTAAATTATATCAGGTTAAACATGGCCATTTTATTACAAATGTGACTACAAAAATGATGTTTTTCTTACGGAAAAAAACTGAAGAGGAAAATAATTCTTTTTCTGTACGCAATGAAAGATTAAAAAAAAAAAGCACACCATTTAAGAATTTACAGACTTGTACAGACAAGATAATTTTCTTCCACGTTTTTGATTCAATCACAACATTTTCATTATAAAAACTCAGAAAGCCATAAATGGGGAAGATAGAACAATGAGCCTAAAACTACAAAGAGGAAACTGAAGTTATTCATAATCACTTTCAAAGGCAATCAATATGGTATTGACTTTCTATTCTTGCTACTCTTGCAGGAATGTCCTTGGCTTGAAACTCAACCTAAGCTAGGAAATATTAGCAAATAAAGCAACTCCAACCTAAGGAAATGTGAAGAGAAAATGAGACAGCAAAAGCCTGGATCTACTTCAAAGATTAAAATAACTGTCTGCTGTCAGTTAATTCTGCTGGTCAGAAAATCGTGCCAAGGTGACCCAGGCTAAGAGCAGGACCCATGTGAACGTGCAGGTTTGGCTCTGACTACAGCTAAAGATGACAGGAGTGTCGTAATGGCAGCATGCTTAGTCCTGAGGAGAAGTGACCGAGAGTGCCCAGGTCTGGATGGATTCTCATCACTAGTGCTACAAAATCTACTCCAAGTGCATGCCCCACGGACCGTGAATCAATAGCATTATCTGAGGACAGGAGGAAAAGCAGAATCTCATTCAAATTTAAAAGGAATTGATCAAATTCAAAAAATTTTAAACTATCATGCGTTAAAGCACAAACCATTTAAGAAGCCCTGGGGAAATTCATTCCAGAAGTGGAGCACAGTAATTTCTTACAAAATGGAACATGTTGGGACTTACGTTGAGCAATTCACAGATAAAGATCAAAGTCCACATTTTCAACTGGGAAACCTGGATTCGAAATAAAGGAACATCAAATTGCAGAATAAGTTCAGTAGTTTTTGAGCAAGTCAACAAAAAAGACTTCCCAAGGACAAATCTCTGTTTCTATTCTTGATCTTATAATATTGTTTTTCATCGTCCTTAATCAAATCCTAGAGACCACACACACACACAAACACACACACAAACACACACCGAGCCAATATGGCAGAAGAGGAACCGTGTCTGCCTCTGAATCACCAAAGCCGTTGTAAGACATCTGCTGTTAAATACTTCTTTTCTTTAGTTTCTTTTGTAAAACATAGTTTCTGGGAAACATTTTCTGTGTATCAAGGCTTGCATCCAAAAGAGGCCACAATTATTTGACTTCAAAGGAACTAAGATGGGTCATTTGAAAAAACGGTCAAAAAACTTTTCAAAATAGAAACATGAAAAGATCATTCAGTTTTCTAGAGGGTAACATTTGGATCCTGAGTCACAGTTCATATTCCCAAGGCGAAGTTTTTTGTAACCACATAGGAAATGTACATCTTGTTGCAAATGGTAGAGTCCCATCCTAGGAAAGGCTTGAGATCCAACTCGGCCTGGAAAGGGTGTAATCCACCTCAAAAAGGAAAAAGCCAACAGCACCACACCCAAACTGAAATCTGCAGTGTCCATATGGGTGGTTCCCTCTATTTCAGCATGCTCACTCTTTTGTCAAGCACCTCTTTTCAGAACCTTCCAGACTGGTGACAGAGTGATTTCCTGAACTACGCCTACATTGACTTCCTTCTGCCAAAGCATGGAATAAGCCTGACAGCTCTTTTCCCTCCAGTCCACCTCTCCCGTATGCATGAGAAAACAAAAGCAGAAAAAAAACCCTGAGCTTTGTAGGCACATTATTTTAATGAATTGCAATAACTCTCCTTTTCTAACATCGAATGATTAGCTCTTCAGATATTTTTCCATGCTGGAGTTTTATAAACTCATAGAATTACTGGGGCTGGAAGTTACTTGATAATTCACCAAATTCAGTTCTTCACTTATTAAAGAGGAAATCCTGTTCTAGAGCCAGAGGATAGGTTGTGATTCCCTTCTCCTCCAAAGTGTGAAAATGATTCCTTTTTGCCACATTTGTGATTCCATTGGCATTGATCTTTATTATCTTACTGTACACATTGGAATCATTCTTTTTGTCTAGGTAGTGAAAGCAAAACAGAAAAACAAAAGCTTTAGCTCTAAACCATACAATTGAATCTACAAATTACCCAGATATATTGCCTTGGCCAAAACACATTTAAATGACTAAGTAGTATGTCCTCATTAATGCAGAAAGCCAATGCTTTGTGTAAATTTTTTAAAATTAGGCTATGGTCCTTTAAAACACATGATAGTAATTAGATGTAAAAAATATAACTAGGGGCACCTGGGTGGCTCAGTGGGTTAAGCCTCTGCCTTTGGCTCAGGTCATGATCTCAGGGTCCTGGGATCGAGCCCCGCATCGGGCTCTCTGCTCAGCAGTGAGCCTGCTTCCTCCTCTCTCTGCCTGCCTCTTTGCCTACTTGTGATCTCTCTCTCTCTCTCTCTCTCTCTCTCTCTAATAAATAAATAAAATCTTAAAAAATATATATATATAACTAAATGAGAGCGGTTCTGCCATTTTTGTAGTAGATGTTGGTATCAGAGGCCATATAACCCAAGTTATATGACCCTACATCACATCTTCTGGGCAGTCCAGAATATACCATCCTTTAACTTGAACAGTTACTTAATGGGAATCCAGGCAGTCCAACACTCTCTGTTAGATATCATTTGATACTAATACCCTAACTGATAAGAAATTGTAAGATGAGTGAATATAGGGAAATTTTTAGCAATAGATCCTGATGGAAAGACAGAGAGTCTGGGACTGGTTGTTTGGTACACTTGGAATTAAAATCAAAGTAAGCAAGTATTAAGGCATGCCTCTCTGGCAACCTTTTCATTCAGATTGAATCAAATTGTCATCTGGATTGAAATCTCCACTGAAGATAGTAAGACTTTGGGCAACCACATGGCTAATGCCATAGGACAGTCTAAAGAGCATGAGTTGAGGAATCCTATGTCCAGTGTTTCCTGGATATTGTATGCTCCTTACACCAGCATAATTTTCTTCAGTGTGCCCATTTCACTCTCCAAAGTGTCCCAGTGTGGACCACGAATCTCAGGCTTAACCTAGGATTAGGAGACTGAGAAAAATTGGTTGAAATTTTGTTGGTTCAGTTGGTTCCAGAACGCTTGAGGTTAGTGAATGACAACAAACTCCTAAAGCAGAGCTTACCCCCACCCAAATAAATAAATAAATAAATAAATAAAATAAACACCCAAAACCTTTTATCTCTTTAAGTTGCTGGCCAGAATAAAATACAGAATCTGATCCAGTGGCTTGTTGAGTAATATCAGCTAATCCTCAGCTCTTCTTGGTCCCTTGTGTGAAAATTAGAGCCATGATTGAAAAAGATTGGATCTATGAGAATAGGAATAAAGAAATTTGGAAGGAATGGAATGTCTCAGAGGGTTGTCTCTCTCCTCTTTGCAGAAGCACCTGTAAGAACCCTACCTGAGGAAGTTATCAAGCTAGGGAAATCTGAATCTGTGTGCTGACCGCCACCAACCCTGATCATCTCCAGGCCTATAATTAGAGTCCCTGGAGAAGAGCCCATGGAGGTTCTATTTGATTTCTATAACAACAGCAACACCCCTCTGGGCTTGAAGAGGCCTGTTTTCAGCTCCCACAGCAGTCTCAGCTTTCCCCCTAATTCTCAGACCTGTGTCTATACACAGGCATTCATTCCTAGCACATTGGGATGAGGCCCGATGCACTTAGGAAAGCACCTTGTAATATGCTAGTGTGTTCTGGGATTTCCTTTCCTGCTTTCCACAAGGAAAGTGTTCATGTACCAGATTGACAGCGCAGTGGAGAAAGCAAATACCGACACCTCTCAGGGATTGTTGGACATTGGCTCTAAGCTTAACACTGATTTGCAGGAATGGGGAGAGACCATCCTCATTGGTGGGGTTCACTCCTTAGTGTGGAGGCTGAAATAGATCAGGTAGTGGGGGAGCCTGGGTGGCTCAGTTGGTTGAGCATCCAACTCTTGGATTTAGGCTCAGGTCATGATCTCAGGGTCCTGAGATCTATCTTCAACATCAGGCTCCATGCTGGGTGTGGAGTCTGCTTAAGACTCTCTCTTCTGGGGCACCTGGGTTGCTCAGTTGATCAAGCATCTGCCTTCAGCTCAGATCATGATCCCAAGGTCCTAGGATCCAGCTCTGTGTCAGGCTCCCCGCTCATCGGGAGGCCTGCTTCTCCCATTCCCACTCCCCTGCTTATGTTTCCTCTCTTGCTGTCTCTCTATCTGTCAAATAAATAAATAAAATCTTTTTTTAAATGTACTGGTTTTAACAATAGATTATATGGTTACCTTAGCTATTATGGTAGAAAAGACGAAGGAAAACTCTTCTAACTCCCTCTCCCCAACAGAAAGTGAATCAAAATCCATATCATATCCTCAGGAGGAGGCTGGGAAAGGTGGGGGAGGAAATACAAAGTTAAATGCTACCTTCCAAGACTTAGAAGATGCACAGGTAGCTGGTTTGACCTATGCAGATATCACCAGAGTCTCCCAAATGTTTCCTGAACATCCTTATCCAGCTGATTATCATTGGCTGAATCCGTTTTCCAAATTCTAATGGCCAATCCAGATATAATTTCTTTACTGGAGCAAATAAGGACAGTTTTTATTTTACATCTGTTGATCTCAAAAATACTATTTCAATAAATAACATCAGAAGGTTCTTTTCACTTGGCAGGAGCACTAGTTTACTTATCTGGTCTCAGAAGTATGGTAGCTCTTTTTTTTTTTTTTAAGATTTTATTTATTTGAGAGAGAACATGAGAGAGAGAGAGAGGTCACGAGCAGAGAGGGGAGAGGTAGAGGGGAGAAGCAGACTTCCCACCAAGCAGGGAGCCCCATGTGGGTGGGGCTCGATCCCAGGGTCCTGAGATCATGACCAGAGCCGAAGCCAGACGCTTAACCGACTAAGCCACCCAGGTGCTCCAAGCACACCGTAGCTCTTGAACTGTGTGCCACAGTTGGCCCTTGGGTCCTTGATAGTCCCATCTTTTCACTGGGCATCATGCTGCTCTAATATATTATTGTTTCCTGTCAAAATACCCAGTAATAAAATGTAGAAATGACTTGAGAGGGGCCTCTCACCTGTCTGAAGTCCATGGGGATCTCCTTGTCAATATGAAGGGCAAGTTAACATACCTTGCATCTGACAGCGATAGAGAAAAGGCATAACGCTCCATCAACCTCACTGAATTTTCCAAGTAACGTATACTACAGGTGTGCTTCTTCAATTCATTTATAGGATGGCCCAAATGACTGCAAATTTTGAGTAAGACCGAGGATCTGAGAAGGCTAGGAAAGGTAAGCTTCACAGCAGGCTGCTCTACTATTTGACCTTTATGAACTGTGAATGACTCAAAGTCCCACAGCAGATTGGAACGCTGTCTATACCCAATGAAAATTCCAATAAACTGGGGGTGCCTGGGTGGCTCAGTTGGTAAGCATCGGCCTTCTGTTCAGGTCATGATCTCAGGGGACCTGAGGCAGAGCCCCACATCAGGCTCCCTGCTTGATGGGAAGTCTGCTTCTCCCTCTTCCTCTGCCCCTCCCCACCTCTCAGCTCATGCTCTCTCTCTCTCTCTCTCTCAAATAAATAAATAATTTGGAAGGAAGGAAGGAAAAAGAGAAAGAAAGAAAGAGCGGGGGGGAGTGAGGGAGGGAGGGAGAGAGGAAGGAAGGATGTTTGAGCATAAGCACACCCTCTATGGTGAGTAATAATTCTCCTTTTGAGAAACAGCTTTTGGCTTGTGATCAGTTCCTAAAGGGGTTGAACACCTGTCCTGATAAACTCCATTCATGAACCTCCCATTGTAAATGAGATGTTTGTGATAAAACCGGACATTCCTCGAGATACTCTATGCCTGCAATGAGGTCATAAACCAAGCGGTTTACCATGCATAGAACCTAAGCACGGGCTTGGCTACTCGGAGTTCCCCTCCCCAAGGCTGGCCTGCCTGCTATTACTGCTGAATGTCCAACTTGACATTTGCAGGAAACAGACGGAAGCCTCCATTGTGGGACCCAACTCTCATGAGACCAGAAAGGTGCTGGCATCCCATTGATTACATTCTTTCACGTTATGGACACTTATTTTGGATTGGATTTGCTTTTCCTGTCATACACCTGCAGTGTAGCACAGTCCATAGATGTACTGTATGCCTGACTCATTCGCAACTTCTCCTTCAAAACATTGTTTTTAATATTATAATTTTTAGCGGCGCCTGGGTGGCTCAGTGGGTTAAAGCCCCTGCCTTCAGCTCAGGTCATGATCCCAGGGTCCTGGGATCGAGCCCCACATCGGGCTCTCTGCTCAGCGGGGAGCCTGCCTCCTCCTCTCTCTCTGCCTGCCTCTCTGCCTGCTTGTGATCTCTGTCTGTCAAATAAAAAAATATATATACATATATATATATATAAAATAATTTTTAGTGAGAAAAGGCATTATACTAATACCCGTGGGATCGCTGGTCACACACGTGACACCACTTCAAAGCAGTTTGCCTTACAGACTAGCAGAAAGCCTATTGAATATTCAGTTATGTAGCTCAGGGAGAAACATCATGCCAGTCCGTGGCGGTAATGTATAGATGCGGTATGTCCTCTGAACCAGAGAGAAATAGTGATATAATATATGGGCCTGAGAACGAATGGGTGAAACCACTCACTGTTAAATCCAATGGCACCTCTCACTATTAAATCTAATGGCCCACTTTTCCTTCCTGCGTGGGGTTCTGCTGATTTTGAATAGTTTTTTTTTTTTTTATTTATTTGACAGAGAGAGAGAGATCACAAGTAGGCAGAGAGGCAGAGAGAGAGGGGGAAGCAGGCTCCCGGCTGAGCAGAGAGCCTGATGCGGAGCTTGATCCCAGGACCCTGAGATCATGACCTGAACCCAATGAGCCACCCAGATGCCCCCTGATTTTGAATTCTTAATACTCCAAGATTTCTTCCGCCAGGTAAACAATTATGGTTCCACTAAACTGAAAACAACTATGTCCTCTTAGCCACTTGTGACCCTTCACGCCATTGAGGGACAAATTCAAAAGGAGGTTATAGTCATGTCTGCCACACAGAAGTGACGCTCTTTTCAATATGGAATCATATACACACTATGTCAAATATTTTTTGGGCTTAAGGTAGTCAAGTGTCTTGTTCTAATAAGATCAGTGTATTGTAACAATTTTCTGACAGATGTCCCTAAGGCATCTTGAAGAAAGATCATTTTTTCCTAATTTACACATAGATTAGGTGGTCCTGCTTACCGTGATGGTTAGGGGAATGGAGTCTATCAAAAGATCATGTAGTTGCCACCAGATAAGAGGGCAAAGACATGTCAAGAGGCAACAACACAGTAGATAGCGGGGTTGCCATTCTGGTCACTCAGATCTTTTGTGGTGTTGGAGTTTTTCTGATAATCCCCCAAAGCATTGCAAAACTTGATGCTCTTTACAAGTCTGAAGAAATTGATATTGATAAGGATGGAGCATGAGGACAACTGCCTTCCTTATTTCAGATAAATTCCTTAGGGCACCTGGGTAATACAGTCAGTTAAGCATCCCACTCTTGGTTTTGGCTCTGGTGGTGACCTCAGAGTCCAATGAGATCAAGCCCTATGTTGGGCTCCGTGCTTAGCAGGGAGTCTGCTTGAGATTCTCTCTCTCTCTTCCCCTCTGCCCTTCCCCCCTCAAAAAAATAGATATTTAAAAATATATAAGATAAATTCCTCAGATAAATCACCTTGAATGATTCTCAGATGACCTGCATTTCTCAAGAGAAATTTCTGAAGAGAGTCTTGGTCACTTGTCTGAATGGAAACCTCCAGGAAGAGGAAGATGGCTTCCTTGACTACCGTGACTTCTGTACCGGAAGGGATTGCACAGTGGGGGATTCTATACAAATAAGAAGGAGACTGAGGTGCTGGTCGCCCTTCTTTAATCCCACAAAAAGGCAGTAAAAAATCAACTATCTAACATCCCTATAATTAGTATCTGGCATGTGTGTAAAAAAATTCTAACAACCTACAAGTAAAGTAAACAGAAACATTGTTTTAAACAAATCTATGGTGCTGGGAAAGCAATTTATATTTAAAACAAGTTTGTTTCAAGACAACACAATTCCTGCAGTGCAAAAGAATTTTGACAATTCCTTATAACTTACTGAAATGAGAGTTAACTTTTGAGGGGTCAAAATATCATGTCATGCTAACAAACGCAGTGACAAGTTCACGGTCATATTTCCTTATGATACTGGAGGTGACCAATTATGTGAATTGTTCTTGAACAAAGTCTCTGGAAATCTCCTGTTTATTTGTTTAGGTCCCACTGGGGGACTCAGGGTACACGGCAAGGACTTGCCTGCAGAAGCCTGAGAGGATAAGGAGACTGAGCAGGGCAAGGTAAGGTGTTCACCTTAAGCAGCCAGAAACAACATAATCAAGGGGGTGAATAGAAGTCATGATGAAAGAGGGATGCCAGCAACAAGAAAAAAGTTATGAATGAGGTCAGCTGTTGGGAAACCAGAAACAAATTTGAAAGCAGAAGGTTTAGGGGGAAAGCTTTCTGCCTAGAGTTCATACGGTACGTCAAAGTTGCTGCATGATATGGGAACAGCTCAGAAAATGTTGAGGCCTTGCAAGACCAGGCACTAGTCAGAAATCTTCTGGGCCAGAGCAGGGAGGCTGAATTTCTCTGGCCAGGCCACAGCTTAGCATGGTAAAGTCTCTTAATCTCAGCCTGGGCATCAGGAATTAACAAAGCAAGTGGACTAGAGAGTCAAATACACTTTCACCTGCTCTGGTGCCCACAGCATAGTCACTGGAAGGCAGAGCTCTGCCACTGGGGGATGCCTCCCATATCCCTTTCTGGGTCACTGGGCTACCTGTGACCATGAAGAAGAAAGGTGATCCCCACCCCCGTGCCTCCTCAAGTAACATGAGAACTCTCAGCACTCCTTCCACCTTTATTTAGAGAAAGAACTGGGCTGCTTACACGTAAAGGGATTTCCTCCACACCAAGCAACTTGTCTTCCTCTTACGTGTTTGACAGATTAGAAATTGTTCCATGACATATGACACTGTTGGCTTTACGTGGTCAAAATAGCTTCAAAATTCTCAAGAGAAAGGACAGTAGTTCCAATGGCCAATGCTATTTATAGTGTATATAAATAAATAAATATAGTGTATATAGGAAGAAATATAAATAAATAAATAAATAAATAAATAAATATAGTGTATTTATAGTGTATAGTATAGTGTATGCAAAATTCCAACAATTCAGAAGAGAAGGGTAAGGATCCCAAACTCAGACCAGGTAGACAAAATATGTAACAACTTGAAACAAATGAGTGCTATTGTTTGGAAGTTTCTAAACAACAGCATTTATTTATTATTATTTTTTATTTTTTATTTTATTTTTAAGATTTTATTTATTTATTTGACAAAGAGAGAGAGATCACAAGTAGGCAGAGAGGTAGGTAGAGAGAGAGGGGGAAGCAGGCTCCCAGCTGAGCAGAGAGCCTGATGTGGGGCTTGATCCCAGGATCCCGATATCATGACCCGAGCCAAAGGCAGCAGCTTAACCCACTGAGCCAACCAGGTGCCCCTATTTATTATTATTTTTTAAAAGATTATTTAATTTTAGAGAAGACAGAGTGAGTGAAGGGGAGAGGCAGAGGAAGGGAAAGAGAGAAAATCTCAAGCAGACTCTGCTAACAATGGTGCCCTATATGGGCCTCAGTCTCACAACCCTGAGATCATGACCTGAGCCTAAATTAAGAGTTGGTTGCTAACCCACGGAGCCATCAATATGCTCCTAAACAAAACTGTATAGGGCGCCTGGGTGGCTCAGTGGGTGGGGCCTCTGCCTTCAGCTCAGGTCATGATCTCAAGGTCCTGGGATCAAGTCCCACATCAGGCTCTCTGCTCCTCAGGGAGCCTGCTTCCCCCCTCTCTCTGCCTGCCTCTCTGCCTACTTGTGATCTCTGTCTTCAAATGAATAAATAAAATCTTAAAAAAAAAAACAAAAACCTTTAAACAAAATTCAAGAATAGGAGCACCTGGCTGGTTCAGTTGGTAGAGCATGTCACTCTTGATCTCAAGGTTGTGGGTTCAAGCCCCATGTTGGGTATAGAGTTTACTTAAAAACAAAATTTTTTAAAAATTGGGAATAGCTTTATACACATGGTATTATACCTTAAAGCCAATGTTACTTTCTGTAAAGTGATTTCTGAATTCTAAAACAGCTTACATTTTTCTAGTTTGCCATAGATTCATAAAGACCTTCTTTAAAAAAAAAAAAAATTATTTATTTATTTATTTGAGAGAAAGAGAGAGAGAATAAGCAGGAGGGACAGAGGGAAAGGGAGAGAGAATCTCAAGCCGACTTTGCCCTGAGCTCAGAGCCTGACACCAGGGCTCCATCTCATAACTCTGAGATCATGACCTGAGCCAAAACCAAGAGTCAGACCCTTAACGGACTTAGCCACTCAAGCACTCTAATTCTTAAAGACCTTTTAAGTCTGAACCATTTAATGTTTGATAAACTCAAAAGCTTTATGTTCAATACTGTATTTCCATGGTGTAGTTCAATATTTTGTTATCATGTTCTCATTAAATAGTTACCTGCACTTAAAGGTAACAAGTAGGCCAAATTAAAAATAAAGGAACCCTTTACTGAAATTTCATTCCATGAAAACCTAAAGACATTACCAACTTCTAAACATAATGTATGGCAAAGGACAAAAACACTTTTTTCAACATAATAATTGATACCTTATATAGTCAGTCAGTCCTATGTACTGTCAAGGATCAAAAGAGACTATAATTCTTGCCCTCATGGAACTGACATTATGGTTATCTCTGATTTTTTCCTTACCTGTATTCCTGATATTTACAAGTTCTCAAACTGCGTCATACTGATTACTGCATGATTTCTTAAATTTGTTCTTTTTTTTCCTGTTCCTCTAACCCCTGGGTTGATTTAGACTTTCATAACTGCTTTTAATGTTTATTTACTTATGACCAGGTACTCTGTACACATTCATTATTTCAAAATATTTTTTTAAAAGATTTTATTTATTTGACAGAGAGAGATCACAAGTAGGCAGAGAGGCAAGCAGAGAGAGAGAGAGAGGGAGAGGGAGGAGGAAGCAGGCTCCCTGCCTAGCAGAGAGCCCGATGCGGCACTCGATCCCAGGACCTTGAGATCATGACCTGAGCTGAAGGCAGAGGCTTAACCCACTGAGCCACCCAGGCAGCCCTCAAAATATTTTTAATGCTAAATGTTCTGAAGTATTCAAGCAGCAAAAAATGTCTCCCCCACATCTGTCTGTCTTCCCTCCCTTTTCTTAGAGGCAATCCCTCTCACCAGTGTTTTGGTATATCTGGACAGATATTCAATACATATGTTAGTATTTATTTGTATTTTATACAAACAGTAACATAATATATACTCAATTCTGTATGTTGGTTTTTAAAGTTAATATATTTAGAGGATCTTTCTATATTAACCATCCTAGCCTCATTTTTTTTTTTATTACATGATTACTGGACAGATACCAACTCACATTTTGCTTAAATAGTCCCCTACTGTATTAGTCAGGATAGACTAGGTTATATTACAGAAACAAATAATCCCACAAGTCTCAGTGGTTTATTTCTTGCTTACAAAATGTCTGTTGAGTTTCTGGGCAACTATCCAGGGCAAATGCCTTTCCATATGGCTACTCAGCGACCATTTGTTAGCATTTCCACCATCCTATAGCTGAACCATCTGGACCAAGTGTCCTCCTTCATTGATGCAGAGGCAGAAGAGAGAGTCTGGATCCAGAAGTAAGCCTCCATTGTTTCAGCCTAGAAGAGAGGCACCCAGTCTTCATGCAACCGATTCTCCAGCATTTATCTCATGGCCCCCCATCACTGCAATGACAATAAGGAAGTAAAATTCTCCACTAAGCCAGGCGAGGAGAGCTGTCTGTGCAATTAACTACAGATCCCCTGAAAAGCTATACTTGACAGCCATATTATTGGTCTGATAAGGAAGTACTTCACATACCTCTCATGTTTAGTAAATAAATGTTAGCTAGCCAGCTTTCATAGAGAACTCATATCCATTGATAGCAGAGCCAATCAATGAATAACATTTTGCAAGTATAAAACGGCTTAGTCAAACGGCATCATCACAATCATCACAATCATCACTACGTTATCATCACATTTTCAGGAAAGGCAAAGGGAGAAGACAAATGGCACATGTTTGAGGGATTATTTTAACACTGGTTTGGTTCATAAATGAGTAAATTACAAAGACTTTCAGAAATTGAGAGCAATAAGAAAGATAAGTGAGTGTATCAGTGTTTCTAACAGCATCATTCACAATAGGCAAAGGGTGGAAGCAACCTAAGTGCCCACCAGCAGACGAATGGCTAAACACAAGATATGGTCCATCCATGTAATAGGGTACTGTTTAGCCTTAAAAAGTCAGGAAATTCTCACACATACTACAACATGGATGAACGTCACATGAACTCATGGGTGACCTTGGATGAGGACATTACGCTGAGTGAAATAAGCCAGTCCCAAAGAAGCAACTACTGTATGACAAATGAAGTACCTACAGTAAGTCGAATCCAAAGAGACAGAGAGTAGACTGGTGACTGCCAGGGGCTGGGGGTGGGGAGAGGTGGAGCAAACTGAGAGTTAGCGTTTAATAGGTACAGAGTTTCAGTTTTGCAAGATGAAAAGAGTTCTGGAGGCGGGTTGCACAACAGTGAGAATGTACCTGATGCCACCAAACTGTATGCTTTAAAATGGTCAAGATGGCAAAT